CTCTCTAGGCGTCTTTTCCGACGCTTCATCTCTCTCAGTTCCTCAGAGAACCAAGGAGCCAATTGAGATCGCCATCAGGTCAGAGGCTGCAAAGGCACAATGCGGTCCAAAGCTCCAGCGGCCGCCCTTTCCCAGGCGGCCACCAGCTCTTCAGTCAAGTCGTGTGTTAGAGTCTCAGGAAACGGCCCAAGCTCCGTCAGGAACCTTTCGGGGTCCATCTGGCACCTGGGACAGAACCATCTAGTCGGTTCCGTCTCCCTGCGGCGGGGGCCGGCGGTAGGAAAGTCTAATTGAAGGAGCGAATGATCTGTCCATGACAAGGGTTTGATATCTAGGTCCCCTCTACCAAGATCATTCAACCACTGACCAGAGACAAAAATCAGGTCCAGAGTGTGTCCCCCTATGTGAGTTGGGCCTTGAACTACCTGGGTCAGGTCCATGGCCGTCATGGAAGCCATGAACTCCCGAGCTGCCTCTGATGCCTCACCCGCGGATGGAAGGTTGAAATTCCCCATGACAATAAGTCTGGGGGTATCAACTGCCACCCCGGCAATGACGTTGAGTAGCTCGGGCAGGGTCGCTGCCACGTGGCAGGGAGCCAGGTACGTGGTCAGCAAACCCATCTGCACCCCACGGCCCCACTTCACACAAAGGGACTCACATCCGGCTATCTGAAGAACAGTGGTCTCCCTCGGACAAAGACTTTCCCTAATAATCACTGCCACTCCCCCACCCCTCCCCTGGGCCCTTGGCTGATGAAATGCACGGAAACCTGGTGGGCACATCTCAACGAGGGGGACCCCCCCCTCTTGGCCCAACCAGGTCTCCGTAATACCTGCCAGGTCCGCACCCCAAAAGGTCTTGAGGGCGCGGCGCAAGGTGCGTAAATCCGGGATCCTCCGTATCTCTGGGGGGAACTCATTCCAGATAACAGGTGCCCCCACAGAGAAGGCTCTCCCCCTGGTGGCCGCCAGCCAACACTGTTTGGCCAATGGCACCCTGAGGAGCCCCTCTCTGTGAGAGCGTACTGGCTCTATTTAGGTCAGTGATTGGCTCATTACTATATATAAGTAACTGGAGCCATCCAGATATTGCCCTGGCCGTAAACCTGCTATCTAGACAAGTGGAACATCCTACCCAGTTCCACTGGTTGGCCATTAAAAAGCTATTAAGGTATCTCAAGACCACAGCAGATTACGTGCTTCGCTTGGAACCTGAGAATAGAGACAAGGCCCAATTAAAATGCTTCGCGGATGCGGACTGGGCCGGAGATACCAAGACACATAGGAGTACTTCGGGCTTTTTTTTTTTTTTTTTTTAAATTTGATTTATATGCCGCCCTTCTCCGGAGACTCAGGGCGGCTTACAATGCGTTAAGCAATAGCCTTCATTCTTTTGTATGTTTTATACAAAGTCAGCTTATTGCCCCCACAAACTGGGTCCTCATTTCACCTACCTTAGAAAGGATGGAAGGCTGAGTCAACCTTGAGCCTTGGAGAGATTCGAACCAGCAGAAATTGCAGGCAGCTGTGTTAATTACAGGGTGCACTAAACCCCTGTACTATCAAGGCTCTTCTTGGTACTATTAAATGAGGCACCCATCCATTGGCATGTGGGGCAACAGAAATTTGTTTCGTGCTCCACCGCTGAGGCTGAATATGCATGCTTATCAGAGGCAGGGAACGATCTGATATGGTTTGATGCCTTAATTTCTAGCATCTGGACACCACCGACTTTGCCCATCCAAATTATAGAAGACAACACCGGGGCCATAGGCACTGCCAAAGCCTATGCAGTGGGAAAAAGGTCCAGACATATTGATATCCGCTATCAAAATGTTAGGCAACTAGTAGAGATGGGGTTTATATCTTTATCACATTGTCAGACCAAATATCAAACAGCTGATATTTTCACAAAACCTCTACCAGCAGATAGGCACAAAGATCTGTGTAAAAAGTTATGTCTCACAGGGTAAAAACTGTTGTGCATTGCATTTGTATGTTTGCATGCCATTGTCTCGCAAGGAGGGGAACTGTCAAGTATTTGCAAGCCATTGGCACATATATCATACAGACACTAGTGGAGGCAGGAAGTGCCCCCACCCCTATGTGGAGAGGAGGGGCTTACACTGAGTATAAAACCCCCTCTAACCTTTCCACCTTGCTCTCTTTTACGTTTGTTCTCCATGAGACATGATCTTTGATAGGGGTAGTCACACATGCTGTGTGCCCCCATCCTAATGGATATTAAGACAGCCTTTGTATATAGTTAATATGTTTTGTTATATGAATAAATACATTTATCACATTTAGTCATGCATCTGCCTTTGGACTCTTCTATGCTCCTGGGTGTTTCTACGATCCCAATTGCCACAACCTTGAAACTTGTGCATAGGTTGTCAGGGATTCAAGATGTGGTGCCAAGTCAAATTGACAGCATCATTTGCCGAACTGTTTGCTTGGAAGGCAAACTGCAAGGGGTCTGAATAGCAGATCTGTGATGACTTTCAGGTAGGCCAGCACCAACCTCTCAAAGGTTTTCATAACCACAGATGTTAGAGCAATTGGCCTGTAATCATTCAGCTCCCTGAGGGAGGATTTTTAAGAAACTGGGTTGATTAGTAGAGTGCTTGAAGCAAGAAGGGACATAACACGTCTCCAGTAATTTATTTTTAAAAACTGTGTGAAGATGGGGGCCAGTTGTTCAGCACAGACCTTCAAGCAAGGAGGAGTCATTCTGTCTGGACCTGGTGCTTTTCATCTTTTAGTCTATGAAATAGACCTCACACATCTTTTTCTAAGATCACCAGAGGTGGAGGGCCCAGGGGGATGGAGATGGGTGTAGGAAAATTAGCTACTGTTAGTGTATCTGAGATGGGGTAGGTAGTAGTAGAAGATGAAGAGATCAGTCTTCTCTTCTTGGACCTACTGTCAGCCTCTGACTTTCTGCTTTGGCTGCCATAAGAAACGGGGGAGGGAAGAGCATGGGGGGAGGGAAGCAAGCTGGTGGATTGAAGAAACGAAACCTAAGCACCGAAGTGGCTATCGGGTCAACCGTCATCGTGTTCCTGATTGATGACGATGCCAAACGTGTGTCCACCTGACCTCTGGGAGACCTTTGGATTGGGTGATTGATGATGGACAGTGGGAGGGGATGCTTTCTATATGCAACTTTCGCGCCTATTGCTTGATTGCATTCATTTCATTTTCCAGTAAAAGTACATTACTCTATAAAATATGGAGTTTGGCTCATTCTTTCCTGGACTTTGAAGGAAGCAAGCCTGACCCTACAGTAGAACCCATTCAGGTGGCCTGAATAAGGGAGTGAGGTCTGCTGTAGCCAACGATGTTCTTCAGGCTTCTCCAGTTGCAGGTTCATTAGCAAAGGGCTGGGTTATTTTAGGATCTGCTTCAACCTGCTTACATCTGCTTGTCCCATCAGATGCAGCATGAGGAATGCAGCCTGTCAGGGAATGACATTTGGTGGGCCCAGGCAAGTGAGACCTCTCTCTTGTGGTGCCCGCCTTGTGGAAATCCCCACCGCCACATCCCAGTGAGTTAATGTTTATCCCTACTTATTTTCAGGAAGGCCCTCACAACTTGGCTATGTCATCAGGCCTTGTGGGACAGACTATGTCTCTGGGGTGAGATCACAAGTCTCTCTATTGCTCTTAGGTGTTTTTATGTTTTTTTGCATTTCTAATGTGCTTTTGACATATTGTTTTACATTTTTTGTTGTATGCTGCCCAGAGTAACTTCTTGTGAGATAGGCAATGTATTCAACAGACACTGAAAACAACCTGCCTCCATACAAGAGTAATCATAAAAACTAAAGCCAGAAATATTGTCACAAATGGCAAGAACAACAGTTCTTCGGAAGTACCTATGTGTCTGTTTTGCAGAGACCTCTAAGCAATTCTGGAACAGCTGGCCTTCAGCTTGTTGTGGGTGCTCCATCACTGGAGGCTTTTAAGAAGAGACTGGACAGTCACTTCAGATGGTATAGGAAGTGCTGCTTGAGCAGGGGATTGGACTAGAAGACCTCCAAGGTCCATTCCAGCTCTATTCTAGTCTAAAACATTCTAAGCACCCGAAGGGAGGACACGAAACAATGGATGGAAACTAATCCAGGTGAGAAGCAACCTGAAATTAAGGAGAAACTTCCTAACAGTGAGGACAATTAACCAGTGGAACAGCCTGCCACCAGAAGTTGTGGTGCTTCATCATTGGAGGTTTTTGAGACTGTAACACAGGGGTCCCCAACCCCTGGGCTGCAAACCACTACTGGGCCTTGAGCCATTCAGAACCGGGCAGCGGAAGTGGCAGGTGAGCGCACATGTGCACATCCCCACTTGTGTGAGCTGCGGGTAAGGATGTGCTCCATTTGAATGAGCAGCGGTGCACGTGCCCACTTGTGCAATTTGAGCACACACACTTGCCCACCACTCGTGTGGAACCATCCCCTCCCCCCCACCGGTCCACAAAGCCAGAAAGTTTGGGGAACTCTGCTGTAACATAGATGGTGACATAAGAACTAAACACATAGATGGTGACATAAGAACTAAACTGCTTTAACACTACAAGTTATTAGTGCTAAAGAACTTATTCAGAAAGGAGTGGAATTAATTTTGTATCTTAAATATCTCCCCTAGAGGTTTTCTCTCTCTTCAGCCCCCACTATCACATCCAATGGAGATTTGCAAAATGCCTTCCAATCTCCCCATGAAGCAGCTGCTTGAAGTTCGTAATGGATGGGCCGATCCTTCCCCTCTGGTTTACTTTTCTAGAATTGCTTGGAATTTCTGGGCTAAAATGACTATAAACAAATATGTAGGTTTAATCAAAGAAACATAAAATATTTATTAGGAAATTTTATATGGCTACCCAACTAATTCCCAGTGACAGTAAATAAGTCTCAAGAATGATGTATGATGTCATGTAACAGGTAAGTTGTCCTTATGTCCATTTTTTTCTATGTTAATACACTATAAAATCAAGAGGTAACTACAAAATGTCTTTATTGAAAAAAAGCAGATTATAACATCTAAGGTTAAATGAAATTCTGACTTTTAATATTAAAATAACTTAGGATAATAGTAAGTAGTTTTTTTAGATAAATAAATCTATATTTCCCAACATTTATTCTTCAACAATCATAGAAACCATGTGGTAACACAAAAACTCTGACAAGTTTATGAACTAGAAGTCTGACATTTTAGAAAGAAATATACAAACATGGTTAAACTAATATGTTTGCAGATGTAAACTAGACACATAATATACAAATTGGCCATTTTTTTATTTCCTACAAAAGAAAAATTAACATTGGTCCAAGTTCTTGGAAATAAAACCTATATTCTTTTAAAGAAAATGCAAATATTTCTCAAGAAACAAACTTAATTTAAGTCAAATCATATATTCTAGTTATGGCATTAGTTGAATCACAAGAGTTTAATGGGGGCTAACTCAATGGAACTCTCCCATCAATTTTTTAATTTCTAAATGATAAGACCTCCACCCGTTTTGAAACAAATATTTCCCCATCCTTAAATCTCTTCATCTCCTTTGGAATCTTAAGTTATGGGGCAGGAGGGTCTTCCAAATATTTACTTTGTTTTCATTAAGTGCATCAATCTTGGGTTCCTCGCTCATGCACATATGTATCAGTGGAAAGAAGGAAGGAAGGTCTCCCATAAATATTTTGGCACAAATGTTAAAAGCACTTCATCCCTGTGGAGCCAAACTCTCTGAAGTAAATGTAGAGGTGGCACTGAACTCCCAGTGTTTGTCTGCAGCTTCCACCATCTGGCGTCTCTTGGTGCGGCACCCCTTGTCCTTGGGCACCAGGTGGAGAAACTCCTGCCAAGGAGAAAGGCTGGCAGGCAGCTTCCCTTGGCAGGACTGGTGGGGGAGGGCCATCTCTCCCTCCCCATGCTTTCAGCAAGAGAGGCCAGTGGGCAAAGCAACCAGGCTGCTGTGGAGCAGGGCCAGCCCAGCCCTCGAGGGGCCCTGGGTTCCACAGTTCAGCCACTATTGATGGGAGGTAGCATGTTTCACATTTTTTGCAGTATCTTTTTTTTTTTTTTTTTTTGCTATATGACACTTTCTAGCTGCTTTCTCCTTAAAGGCCATATTTTTAAAATGAAAAAAAGGCATTGAAAAAAGAGAACTCTTCAGCTGTGATCGTATTTCGGCAATGGAGGAAAAACAAAAATTAAAACAGCAAAATGTTTACAAAGGAAATCACCAGGTTGACAAATCTGTTAAGTATCTAAGAAGTAATCCCCCCAAATATTTTAAACAAATGAAATAGCCTGGTATGTTTGAAAAATAATAGGCTGTGTACATATTTTAGCTGTTATGGTATTTGCGGAAGATTAAGGCAGTAGCAGGAATGGACAAGTTTGACACTAAAATAATCAAGATGCCATAAACAGCAGAAGAATGAGAGGTACTTTCCAGAAGGAACCAGAAAGCAAGAGGAACGAGGTGGAACCTTTGCAGTAAAATCAAAGGAATTACAAGGGCTTTCTGGAAACTTCAAAACATGAAAAGGCCAACGGGACCATCAGAAACAGCCTTAAAAGGGCTAGTCTGATGGGATGGGGAGGGGAGGAGAGGAGAGGGGGACTTGTTTCAAAGCGCCCCATCGTGCTCCCATTTGGAAGGAACTGCTTACATTCCTTTTGCACTGACTCACCTGATTCTTCCCTCTTCCCAGCCCTTCAGACTTGGGAAACGGTCCTGCTGCAGCAAACTGGACTATTTGAATAGTGGGGGGGGGGGGGGGGGAGTCAGCCTGGCTGCTCTTCCACGAGGGGCCTTTTTTGCACTTTTCAAACAGATTTAGCTATATATTTCCATCCGGTTCCCAAAGTGGACTTTCACTGAAGTTGCTGGAGCACCAACAGCTTTCAGTCTACAAAGGGCTGATCCAGGTGGTTTTATCAGAAGGAGCGAGTGGAAACGGTTTCAAGGTCAATGTATGCACGGAATTAATACAAAACGGCTGAACCTGAAGAGTATACTGATGTAGTCAGTTTTAATTACATTAATGGTACCTCCTTGTCTCAAATAAACAAAATGTAACTTATTTTTTTAATAGAAAAAGTAAACATTTTCCATATGGAACACAGATTTTCCCAGAGTTGGAAATGTGCTTTAAAAGTCTAGCCAAAATAGAAGTGTAAGACTGCTAACTTTTTAATTTTTGCTAATTAAAAAAAATCCTCTATGCTCCAAATTAGATATTTCCCTGCTATACATCTGAGCCAATTTCTTTACATCCAAACACCTAGATAAAAAGACTTTCCTGAGACTTTTAAAAAATGTTTTGTGACCTATCTAAAAATGCTTTGTATGGTCAAGAGGCCATGGGAATTATTATGCAAGTGCTGTGGATTCAAGTATAATTAACTTGGCCTTTAAAGCTGGGTTATAACCAAGTTGTAAAAAAGAAAAATAGGGAAGCAACTGTTTTAAAAATACCTCTAGAAGAAGAATGTTTGCAAGTCATAGCACAGAGCTGCCATCCCTTAAACTGAAAGGAATGAAATGTTGTACATTTGCAAGAGTCAGGATCTCTTCAGGTGAGGACAATGGGGTGGAAAGAGTCAAGACAATGGCCACCACCATGCAGCTGAAACCAGCATCTTCATCTGTTGGATCCTTTCTGCAGACACTCCAAGCTGAAGTTATTAACCGAAGTCCGTTTCAAAAGAGTGATTTTGAGAAGTGCCAAGTGAAGTTTGACATGTACGGAAGATCCTTCTTGACAAGAGATCCCGTTTCTTTGCCTGCAGTCCCCTGGTGGATCCAGCACAAGAATCCGCTTTCCTTGTCCTGAGGAAGAGAGAGCGACTAGCAGGGCTTCTGCAGGGAGCCCCAGTGCACCTGGGCCTTGGCAGGTTCTGCTGTTGTTTGAGCAGAATCGTTTCCTGGACTCCAGGCTGCCTCTGAACTTCGGGATGCTGGGAAAGTTCCCTTCAAAAATAAGTGGTGGCAGGTGCAAAGCAATGGATGGGACAGAAACTCAATTTGGCTGAATTCAAATCTGAATTAAATTTAATGAATATGCTGTATATAAATTTTTCCCATTCTGACACATTCACACGTTCTGCCACGGAAGAGTGCTAAGAAAAAACTGTGGACTGGGAATGGAGCAGCTTTTTCCTGTTTTCCCCATCTGCAGCCCTGCTTTCAGCAAGGCTCCTCTGCAGACCGTTGCTGCCTGTCGGATCCCAGAAAGCTATGAGGTAACCGGTCTTCCCAGAGAGCCTGCAGCTCTCCCCTTAGCTGTGTGTTCTGCCCCACCTGGAAACACATCCTTGCCAAGCACCTGAGAACCGTGCCTGACACAGCCTGAAATAGGAATGCTCTCTGTCCTTTCATGCATGGGCTTCCAGCTCATGGTGTCTTGTGTACTCAACAAAACCCAACAAAAGGCCAAGCTGGAACGCCCACAGGTATCCCCTACAAAGTGGTTCCTTTTTTAAATCACATTCAATTTGGCCATCACTCTTTTGATGCATGCAACAACCACTGTGCCTCTCAAATTGTGAGAATCACAAGGTCAGGGTGCAAGAAGACCTAAAACATGGCGAAAGTCTTTTGGTCTCTTTCCTGTTGGAAAGCTAGTTTCTTCTGGGAGCTCAAACAATCAACCATAAAAATAGCAACAAGCCAGTATTAATGGGTGGCCAGTCATCCCAACAGCTCTGACATCATGCCCTTTCCCCATCCAATCCACGGGGTGCACAACTTTTCAAGTACCAGCATCATGGAAATTGTACCCAGAGGCAACCCAAGAGGTGCCCCTTCCTTTCCAATCTTAGAAGCAATAAATAATGGCGGCTGCTTTGTCTTTCTAGAGAGTCTTTTGTTGAGCCCTTTTCCCAGCAGGGGTATTCCTCCTGGCCTTGAGCAGATGGGAAGCAGAAGCCTCAGAGCTCCGTGATATGCATGGGGTACCCAGAGGGAGAGTGTACTGACACTTTAGTGCTCAAGCGCCTGATATGACAGGTGTGGCAGAGCAGGTGTCTCTCCAGTGGATAGCATCGGCGGCCCTCCTCGTCATTCAGCTGGAGTCCACAATCCTAAGAAAAAGAAGATTCCCCCATCCGTTAGTGGCCAGTGGACTTAAGATACCTGAAGTAAGCTTCAGGAAGACATGATGAGTACAGATGTCTATTATGGAGATTCTCAAGTCATTTGGGTCATGGTTGGTCTTTAGGCAAATTAGGAAATAAAAGCAAAACATACCAGGAATATGCTTCCACCAACCCTTTTGAATAGATTTCTTTTCCCAGGGGGAGGACTAGTCCTAAACCGCTCCCTCCCTTCAACTGGGCTGCCTCAGCAGCTCTTAAGGCTTACCTCGCAGTGGTAACACTCCACATGGTAATCCCTGTCCATTGACACCACCCGGATGGTCTCCTCGGAACCCTAGTTTGGAGAGACAGCGAAAGAGGGTGAAAATTGGGGAGGTGTCCATCGTTGGCTTTCAAGGAAAATAAAGGTACTTTGAAACCTCCCTCTGTAACAATATAAATCCCTCCTTGTTATATAAGTGCCACAATGAAACCTCTTCCATTTCCCGAAAAAAATGATTTCCTTCCTTGCAAAATTAAGTGGAGAAATTATGGTTCCTGAAGATAGCAGGAGCACCTAGACTTATATACCGCTTCACAAGGCTTTACAGCCTTCTCTAAGCGGTTTAGAGTCAGTCTATTGCCCCCAATACTCTGGGTCCTCATTTTGCCGACCTCGGAAGGATGGAAGGCTGAGTCAACCTTGAGCCGGTGAGACTCAAACTGCAGCGGGCAGTCAGCAGAAGTAGCCTGCAGTACTGCACTCTAACCACTGTGCCACCACGGCTCATATACTTTCTGTGCAAAATTTGGGCTTGGTCCTATTTCTATGAAAAGAAAGGCAGGAGCCCACATCAGTGGAGTAGAGAAAAGAAACACTTTAGGAATCTCATACGGTTCAGACATTGAGAACTGCTGAGACTGCCCACTCAAGAGGGCAGATGGATCCCTTTGGAGGGCTTCAGCAGGTGCCAACACAGCCGACTGGGTCAATGTATGATGGAAACCAAGCTAGTGAACTTCCCTGTGCCTGAGGAGGCGAAGTGCCTGCAGTGAATTGCTCAGTTTAATGGGCATGGAAAGGCTTTCCAGCAGATTTTTACGCAAGAAGCTGTTGCCTCTGGATATATACCATATGAGCATTATGGGTATATATGAGAGAGTGAGATAGATAGATAGATAGATAGATAGATAGGTAGGTAGGTAGGTAGATAGATAGATAGATAGATAGATAGATAGATAGACGGACACAGACAGACAGACGACAGAGGTATATATATAGAGAGAGAGAAGAAAAGGAGAAGCAAGCAGTCAAAGATCAAAATGATTTAATTCCTAGGATTGGAGCAATATGAGAACTCAGCTGCGCAGACAAAAAGTTGTGTTTGTAGCCAGCACACAATGGCTGTGCTGAGGCCAAAGTATTAATCAAATGACAAAGAAGAACATACCTGGACTGGCAAAATAGGCTGGTTACAGGAAGCACACTTGGGTGCAAAAACCCTAGATTTGGGGAGGGGGGAAGAAAGAGGAAAATAAGTTATATTTTTCTTGAGAAGCAGAGAGAGAGAATGGCAGGCAGCATTTTAACAATTGAAAGCAAACAATGATAGCTAATCCCAACTCCATCCCATGAGTGTGTTGCATTATTTTAGGCCACAATGGTATGAAATCTAAATTCAGCTATGGATTTAAGAATATCCCTCCTTCTAGTCAAAGCAGGACAGCAAAACAAAATGATGATCCCATTAACCTCAGACAATCCCCTCAACTGAATGGCTGCCGTCTAGTGAGACCTATTGGTCCCCATGTGCCATCGCTTTAGTAGGCAGGGTTTAATTCTGATGGAAATGTTTCAAAGAAAAAAGAAAACAGCCGTGATCTCCTTTCAATATAGCCACGGTTCCTGTTACATTTTTCAATGCAACATACAGAAATGTTGACCTCTAGATCGCCTGGCTGCCAGTCCTTAAGTGGACTTGATCCTGGATCCTGGATCCTTTAGCAGCAGTCAACCCTTCCTCATGATCTGAGCCGGGGGTCCCCCTTTTCCTTTTGCCCTGCAGAGCTCTGCATTCTCACGTGTGGTAGTCTTTGACACAGTAAATATTGTTCTCCATATCCACAGTGAAGGGTATGCCATCCAGACATTCATTGCACACCACACAGCGGAAACAGCCAGGATGGTAGGACTTCCCGAGAGCTTGCAAAATCTGAAAAAGAATCACAGGTCACAAATTATGCAAAGCCTCTTCCTGCTTTTGATCATTTATTTCATGCATGAAGAGACAGTGAATGCCGGGCTTGGGGAAATCATTTGGATGACTAGGAATGACCGCTGGAGTAACTGGCACTCTTGAGAAGCCACAATACAGTTGTCGCTTGCCATTCCTGCATGCTTTTTTAAAATTCCTAGCCTAGACAGCAGTGCTGAGTTTCCTAGACATCTACAATCCAATCCAAGGACTAATCAGTAGGGATGACTGTTTCTCCCTCTACTCTGCTCTTCTGCAAATTTTAGAACCAAGTCTGGAATTGCAACCAGCCTTCCTTAGAAGTTTTAGGCCTCAACCCTGTTTTGTTTGTGGCAACATCTCCAAAAGACAAAAAAGAGATTCACCCAACATTACCTTTAGCAAGTCCAACTCTTTTGATTGGCAGATGGACTATAATTATCCCTTGAACTTTTTAAGACTGTTCTTGGTTTGTATTGCATGCTAACTAAAGGAATTAGCACCAAGAGATTCAACCCTATCTTTTCTTATTGTCATGCTTTCATTCAGATACTGGTAACATTCTCCCACCTGTATTAACTAACGCAGTTGGAGGTACATTCTCCCACAGAGTCTTGAGAAAAAAGATTCTTTCAAATCCAAGCATAATTAAAATAGAAGTGAACAAAGAAAACAACATTGAAAATTAGATCAGACTCTGAAACCCAGATAGTTGGGGAGGTGTGTCATCTCAAGCGACCCTAAGGGAGAAACAGAGATTGGGAGAGGCAATGCAATGCTATTGAATGCCCTGGGACTACCTTCAGCACATAAGAACCCTCTGCTGTGAAAAGTCCATTACCAGCTCCATGGCCTTGATTGTCAACCAAAATCAGTTTTTTGTCCCCTCAGTGGAATTGTTGCCAGATAGCTGGTATGGTTATATTTCTTCTGAAGATCTAACAAGATTACTGATGCCTAAACCAGCAGCAGCACTGCAGATTAGCAATTTCCACTGCTATTATTTCATCATCTGAAGAGCAGACTGCAAGAGCAATGTTTTGTGGATCACTGATGCCTTCTAGCCATTTATGAACTGTGATACATTTGGTAGCAACTGAAGAGGCAGCAAGAGAAAAGATTTAACCAGATCCTGACCAGAGCAGCTCCTCTGGTCGGGCTTGCAGGCTAGAATATGGAATTGAACTGTTTGGTTTAACAAGAGTCATGAAGAAGGCCAGACAAGGAATTATGGATGGAAACTGAACAAGGAGAGAATCAATCTGGAAACAAGGAGACATTTTCTGACAGTGAGAACAATCAACCAATGGAATAGAAGTTGCCTTCAAAAGTTGTGGAGCTTCATCACTGGAGGCTTTCAAGAAGAGACTAGACTGGCATCTGTCAGAAATGGTGTAAGGTCTCCTGCTTGGGCGGGGGGTTGGACGAGAGCTACAAGGTCCCTTCCAACTCCAAAATCTGTTAATTTTAATCTGTTAAATCCACAAAGGGGAACCTTAACTGCCGCATAATCATCTGAAAGATTTGTGAAACGAAAGTTTCAACTTATGCAGGGATGACTGATGTGAATAAATGTTTATGAAAATTCAATCAGGTATCCTTTAGTTCAGGGGTCTCCCAATTTGGCAGCTTAAAAGACTTGTGGACTTCACCTCCCAGAATTCCCCAACTACCATGAAGCCCACAAATCTTTATGTTGCCAAATTGGGAGCTTTAGGTCAGCGATGATAAACCTGTGACACACATCAACAGTAATATACCATTATATTTTGGGTGGCATAACTGCATTCATCAATACCTGACAATAACTATTCTTGAAAGCACGCCCTGCGATTTTCCTAGGCTGCAGAGGCCATGTGAGAATGGGGTGTCCTCTCCCAGGGCCTCTGGGGCCTCTGAAAATTGTGTGAGGAAGCATGGTTCCACATGGTTTTGGGAGGCTCCAGAGGCCACGAAAGATCATTCTCCAAAGCTGCTTCAAGAACGAAGGCACGTACACCCAGTAGCCTCATGGAGGCTGCAGGGGCCTGACCAACGAAAGAGACTCTTGCCTGAAGGTAAGTGGCACAAGGCTGGTCCTGGGGAATGCTGGACTGCAGGGCAATGACCGGATGGGCCATGGGGAATGGTGTGAAGTGGCCTTTTTGAACCGCTCTAGCGCTGGAGTTGAGGCTGAAGTTTTACTTGAGCAAGAAAACAAGCTGTACTTTTTCTGGTTGAGTATGAAATACCATGATCTTTAAAAAAAAAAAAATATTGTACTCAAATATTATGAATAGGGAAAAAAGAAAGGTAACTGGTCCATGATTGACCTTTGGTCAACATTTTTCTAAAATCACAGTTGGAATGATGGAGAAACACCTGCTGAGTGAGAAGGAGCAAACATCCACTTCTGTGTTTCCAATTGTTCAAATATTGGAAATCAATCATTCTGACTGTCTCTGGGACCAATTTTAAACTTGTTTTTATTAGGATTATACCTCTTCTTTATGATAATACATAATTTGTAAGAATTAATAAAAGCAAAAAAGAAAAAAAACTCTGTGAAGGCTGCAGCTGTGCCTAGTGATTGGAAAAGAATGAATGCAAAAACCACAGAGAAATGAATTTATTAAAGGCATCTGGGAAAATGTTGGCAGAATTCTGACCAAAAGTTTATTGTGAACAAAAACTGCCCGGGGGCTTTTATTGGCTGCCAACTGGGGGCATGGAGATTTCTTTAGAGCAATACCAATGGAGTCAAGCAGGGGGAGAAATGGGGGCTCAGTGAGGGGGCAAGAGGCAGCTGTGGGGGCAGCTCCAGGGTCAAACGTGGAAAGCAGCATCAAGGCTGTGTGTGTGTGTGTGTGTGTGTGTGTGTGTGAGAGAGAGAGAGAGAGAGAGAGAGAGAGAGAGAGAGAGAGAGAGAAAGAGAGAGAAAGAGAAAGAGAAAGAGAGAGAAGGAGGGAAAAAACGGATTCCTGGGAAAGTCCAAAGTCAGGAGCTGATCAGGCGGGCTTTGCCAACCTCCATTTCTCCCTGCTCTCTGCCATGAATGAATGAATCTTGGCAGGAGGCTGTCTGGAAGCCAGATCGGGGGTGGGGGTGAGTGGATGGGAGGAAGAGGAAATGCCCAGCCTGCAAAAAGTGGACTGGAGCGAATAGTTTGCACAGCAGGTTCAGTGAAACTGATTGTGGATTGCTCTGATGAAAGGGAGCAATGATGGAGACCAAATTCCAGAAAGCAATTCTTCCTTTCCTTCCAATTCTCTTCCAGGTCTCGGACTTTGCTGCGTGTAATAAAACTTTTATAAATTCTGAATTCGAAAGGGCTCTTGCCCTCAGCCCAGGCTTTGCCCCACCCCAAGCCCCTGACCTCCTCGGTGGCCGAGAGGCTTCCTGGGCGGGCCCCTGGGCGGGGCAGCAGGCTAGGCTGGCTCTCCCGGGAGCTGCAGGGAGAGGGGCAGCGGGAGGAGGGCTCTGGAGCCCCTCAAAGGGACAGAGAGGCCAAGGGTGGGTGGGGGTGTGTGGGGGGCAGAGACCAAAGACAAGTTTGGGTGAAGGAGGAGGTAAGTTTTATCCTCAACATTTTTGAATCAAGTATTAATTCAAGTCAGAGTTTTTTCTCCTTTTCTCTGACTGTCAAATGGAAGACAGAAAGAACAGATCCCAACAAGGATCTTTTCCTTGCTAGAGATTGAAAGCCACAAAAGTTCACGAGTGTCACTGTGGGCCAGTTGCACACAACCTACTCCACAGGGCCGTTGTGGGTGAAAAAGGGTAGGAAGGAATGCTACCCTTTGAGCTCCTGAATGAAAGGCAGGAGGGAAACCTAATAAATGACCAAATATAGCACTTAGCAATTGCATTTAAGACTTATATGCCGCTTCACAGTGCTTTGCAGCCCTCTGTAAGCAGTTTACAAATGTCAGCATCTTGCCCCCAACAATTTTGGTCCTTGTTTTACTGACTCAAAAGGATGGAAGGCTGAGCCAACCTTGAACCGGTCAGGATTGAACTACTGGCAATCAGCAGAATGAGCCTGCAATACCGCATTCTAACCACTGCGCCACCAGCACTCTTCTAATATAATCTGCAAACAATGAAAAGTGAGGAATAGCAGTGGAGAAAGTGGCTGCTCTGTGAGGGTCCTTTACTGTCCATGACTAGACATACCACTTAGCCTGTCTGGACACAATGCTTTACTGCAGCACACACCGTCCCCACTAGAGGCTGTTGCACTTCACCCTTCTAGAACTTGCAAGGTGGTCATCTAAACAGGCCTTTGATGCTCAGTCCTTTAATGCTTGGTTCAAGCAAAAGATTATAATCTGCAAAGCAGAATGAAACCTTCGCCTCCTTCCAAAAGTCCTTACGTTACTTGCAACGAGCTGCTGCTTCAGTGTGTTCTTCCTCTTCCAGCTGCTTACCAAGCTCTGGCAAAGATCCCAGCAGAAACACCCCCACCCCCCCCAAAAAAAGTACTGCTCACTGCAGCTTGGGGTCCCAGCAGTTGACTTGCCCCCTTGAAAGAGCTGCCGGTCTTCAAACGTCGCCTCCACTTCCTCCAAATCTGTCTTAGCGTTTTGCTTTTGTAAGCAAAGGTCCTGGATAGGCGAGGTTGCCTCTGGTCCTTGAACAGCCCCCAATTATTCTAGCTGCAATGTTGGCTTGAAGGCTTGTGAGTAAAATTGTGAGTGTATAAATGCTTCAAGGAAAGCGGAAGGGAGGGGGGAGAGCTACGTTTCACCATCACTCCCTCCCATGCCCCTGAAGGAAGCCCGAGTTCCCCAGAGAGCTGACCAGAGAAGGGCAGAACGCTCAAGTGGGCATCCCCCGGGAGAGGCACGAGGAAGCCCTCGAGAGGCAGAAGCTGGACCTCAAAGCGAAGCCTTGCTTGAGAGTGGAATGGGTGCTGGAGGCAGAGGGGAGGGGGAGGGGGTTGCAGACCTGAAGGGAGAGGAGGCAATCGGACTCGGGCAACTTTGCAGAGACACCCCAGGGATGCATCATTCCTAAAGGGGTCGAGGACAATTCGCCCCAGTCAACTCGCTGCAGGACAAGAGTTACATAATATTGAAGAAACACTGGAATAGAATCATGAAAGAAGGGATGCAAAAGGAAGGACAGAATGAAATGTGAATGAGAAAAATTAAAATATTTTTAAAAATTATTTAAAATAATTAAACTGAATTGTTGAATTGTCCCACAGCAAGTTGGCTGTGGTTGCGTTGTCCCATTTGTTTTCTAAAGAGGCCCACCTGGCCTGATCTTTCAGCAGTTGCTGAAGCGCAATCCGTCTGGCTAACAGAATAAGAGAGTTGGAAGGGATCTTGGAGGTCTTCTAGTCCAGCCCCCTGCTCAAGCATGCGCCATTCCAGACTGTCCGCTCTCTTCTTGAAACCCTCCAGTGATAAGAGCATCCACAATTTTTGCAGATTAAGTTAGAGAACAGATTACTATGGTATCTGTGAAGCCAAATGTTTGGGAAGAAGCCCCATTCTCTCCAGGAGTCAGGAAGGACTGTCCGAAAAGCAACTGCTCTGCTAGAAGGTTCCGTCTTCTTTACAAATGAGACAAATGGCTTTCAACGCTATCTGGAATACCTTCCCGCCATCTCTTGAAGAAACAAAAACTGGTGCAACATTTTTAAAGGAGAAGCAAAAATATTTGTATTAATATATTGCCAGCAGAATTTCCCTTGGTGGCAAACTTTCTTTGTCCATGAAAAAAAAATCGGTTCATTTTATGATTTTATGCAGTACCATGAGGCAAATCTCCCCCGGGGGAGAGGGAGGGGGAGGCTCAGCCCCATCCAGCACTCGGGCACTGTGGGAGGCTCAAAGGCAGCCTGCAAGGAAGAGAACTGCCATCCTTCAGAACCACCTGGAATGTGTCTTGGGGCCACAGAGAGGAGCCCTGGGGAGCTCAGGGTGGTGGAGGAGTTTTCTAAGACACAACACCTGTGACTGGTTGGGTTCATGCAACAGAGACCAATCTGTTTTCTGGCTGCACACAACAGACTGAAATGGAAAGTGAATCGGCCAAATTCTTAGAACATTACACTACAAAACATTAATGATTAAAAATAATCAAGCTTAGCAGGTTGTACAAATGCAGCTGCCGGCACCTTCCTGAACCTGTTCAACGTAAAAGGCAAACCTGGCCTCCATTGTGATGGTGCTGTGCGTGTGTGTGTGTGTGTGTGTGCGTGCATGCGTGCGTGCCTGGGGGAGAAGAAGAAGGCTGCAGCCCGAGCGACCCAGCGGCCACCCTTTTTCTGACACCAGGACTCTTACCATTTCCATGATGAGATGGCCACAAATGAAGCACTTGTCTGCCGTCTGCTGAAACCCCGAATACTGTTCATAAAACAAAGGGGAGGCGGGGAGAGACAGTTACAAGGCTTTCCCTTTCCGTCCTGTTAAGTCACAAACACATTTTCTTTTCGGCAATCAAGCAAATATTCATGATTAACTACTAAACTGAAAATGAGACTTTCCCAACCTTTTCACAATAGCACTGGAGAGGAGAGATTTTTGATCCAAGAATTTCAATTTGCATGGCAAGCTTGCACTGAAATCTTTTTCACCTAGTTAAAATGAAACTATTACTCAGAAGATACCTGTGATATTTAACACTGAAAACTCACTTCAACATAGGCAAAACCCCAAGCAATGGTGAGAACAGCAATTGTGAATCCGGTTTTGCACCTAAACATCTTTTTCAATTTCATGAGTACAAATTTCAATTTGCCACATCAGACAAAAAAAACCAACAGCTCTACTTTGTTACAATCGAGGGTGGAACTGTTGAATCTCTGTTCCGGTGGCTGGACAGGGAGGGTATTATTTCTTAAATCTTTTCCAAATGGTTATTATTTAGACATAATAGAATCGAATGATGATTCTACTAAAATTCTCCTCTCCTCCATCCTCAATTCTATGAAGTCGTATCCATTTATATTAGAGATTGCACGTAATTTTACATTTTAAAAACTAAATATGCAAGATAATATTAAATTGCCCATTTATCTGGGTGATTTTTCTGATATTGCTTTCAAAAATAGTTCCTCATCAATGTTCTCCTCATTTTGGTTTATGTTCTGTTGTGCCATAGTGTCACTAAGCCAGGAGAAGACATGGCATGAAAGAATGGCAAAGGCATCATAGGTAGATTAAGTGTAATTACCTAATAAAAATATTTTTTATCTCAAAATTAAAAGCAAATAGATCTAATGTGGAGGCAGTGATTAATAAGCACATCAATATAGGTTGGAAATAGATCATCTTACGTGACCCAGGAATTCCTGGGTGCAACTGGCAAATGTGAGGAACAACAGGAAACAGTAGGAAATCTAAAAGCAGGAAGAATGACTTAGTCAGTGTGACTTAATCCTCTAGGATGAAACTCAGGGATGAAATGCAAGGATTATTGGGTGTAGAATTTATTAAAAATATATACCTGGCAAAGGCATGTTAGGCGAATGTAGCCAAAATATGTCTGCATGCGTGTGTGGGAAGAGAAAGGACAAAAATAGCCTGAATGAAGAAGGAATTAAATTTCATGTGAAAAAAGGGAACACGTGAGCTGAGATGCAGGAATCTGAACATGAGGTTCCTGCAAGAACACATGGAAAGGGAAGGAGCAAAAATACTGTTGTGGGGATGTGGTACAGACCAAGACAGGCAGAAGGTCTAGATAATACTCTACTAGGTCAAATCACCTGGACAACTCTTGGAGAACCAACTCAGCCAAGATGGCAAATAAAACCCTCAAAATTTTCATTCAAGCATGATTGAAGAGGTAAAAGCTGTGGGGACCTTGACAGAAAGTGACTCATGTTTTCTTGGGATGCAAGATCCAACAGAAAGAAAACCTGCTACACAGTTGCATATGCAGACCAGGTTCAAGAAGCAGGTTTAAGCAACCTTATAACAGAGGGAATGCCATGGATTGAAATCCTCATATTTAAGGGAGCCTAGGAGGGATGGAGAGTTCTTAAAATACGTTTCTGACACATAATTGTATCCCATGCCAATGAAGAACAAGGGAGCAGCTTTAGAAGCCATTCTGGGTGGAAGGAGCTTTTACTCAGGTTCAAGGGATAGAAAACGAGTGTAACCACCAAGGAGGAGTAGCTGCACATAACTTATATTTGCAGAACGAGTATGAGAAAACATAAAAAAGCTTATGCTTGTAAGTGAAACCCAATGATGCAAAAGTTGGTAGGAGAGTGACAAGTGATGGGAAGAGGGCAGAACTTCTCAGCAATTACTCTGCTTTAATCTTGTCTCCAAAGGAAAACCATCATCTGGCAAAAAAGGAGTGAAAATCCAAGGTAAATAAAAACATGGTTAGGAGTCCCTGGCCAACATTAATGCATTTATGTCTTTAGAATCAGATCAAGAAGATTGGAGAAGAACAGTTCCTGTCTTGAAAAAAATTGGGAAAAAGAGGACTAAAGTCACTTCAGACTAGTCAGTTGATATAAACTATTAGATTATTCAGTATTTCATTTGTGAGAAAAGAATGCATACTTGGCAGGACACAACATGGGTTTATCAAAAATAAATCATGACAAGCCAACCTCATCTCTTTTTTCTGTAAAGAGTGACCTGTTTAGCTGACCACAGGAATGTGGTATGTATAATGTACCTTGACTTGAGAAAAACATCTGACAAAGTCTTCTGGGTGAGATTCCAGTACAGAAGGCTGCAAAATGTGGGCTGGACTATGTTACCAGCGGATGGATTCAATGGTTGAATAATTGTACAAAAAGCGAATGAGTGATCTGGATAGGCCTGCCAAGGGCTGTACCACAGGACCCTGTTCTAGGCCCTATTTTGTTCAAGATATTTATAAATATGTTTGATGAGGGGTGAGAAAATATGATTATCAAATCAGAAGAAAGCAGAAGCACAGGGTAACAATCATGACTATCAGAAAAATGGGCAGAAATTGGCCAGAAGAATTTTTTAAAATGAGAAGTAGAGTTGGATAGGAAAAAACTTACAACAAATGTCAAAAATAATAAGTTTCTTTCAATATATAAAAAAAACAAGAAAAAAGTCAAGGAAACAATTGGTTCACATATGAGAGAAGATATCAAGGAAGTAATGGATAGCACAGAGAAAGCACTAAGATGAGATGGTAATCGGTTAGGTCTCCCTCTGCCTCCTTTTCTATAAAATGGGATCACCAAAGCTAGGCTATAATCGCCAGGAACCTTGGCATGATTATCGATACAGGTGAATAGGGAAGCCCGCACAGGTACCCACCAATCTAGATTATTTTGCATCATCTCTGCTGAAATAAAATTGTATTCTGGAGGTTTGTTTGGTTTCAGGTGTTCAATCAATTTGGTAATTTCAGAGCCTGACACAGGGGGCCAGGAGAGCAGGAGATGGGCTTCAGATTCTAATTTCCCTTTTGGGTGTGGCAGTTCCTCCTGTGTGAACAGCCATCTGCACCTTCAATGGGAATATAGGGTGAGATAGTCAGTAAGGGGAAGCAGATCAAAGAGCTACCGTATTTTTCGGAGTATAAGACACACCTTTTTACCCCCCAAAAGGGGGTGGAAATTTAGGTGCGTCTTATACACCAAATGTAGCCCTGCCCACCCACTGACACCCACCCTCTGGCCTGTGCCTCGCAGCAGTTACCTTCTTGCAAGCAAACAGCAAGAAAAAACAGCCCCATCCAGCTTCAGCTTAGGTTAATTAGCACAAGTTGATTAGATCGGCCTCCCGACTCTCAGCTGATTTGCTCTCAGCTGTTTTGCGCAGGGCTCTCTTGCTTGCTGCAGAGTGCTGGAGCAGATTTTTTTCCCCTAGCTATGCTGAAAAAACGAAACTGAAAGTAAAGCAGGCTCTTTCCTGCAACGTGACAAAATGAGGCAGAGATATTTCTTTTTCTTTTTCCTCACCAAAAAAGGTAGGTGCAAACAATGGGAAATTTAGGGCAAAAGAGGAGAGTTCAAGTTTTTAAAACACAAAAGAAAAAAAGCTCTATTTAACTAGAGAATTGTAATAATTGAGATACTATTAATTGTATATTGTGTTGAAAGCAGAAATGGTTAAGTTGTGGTTTGGAGGAATATATGGGGAAAATTATTTGGTTTATTATTATTGGTAAATATAATTAATTGATTTGTAAGAAATTGGATTGCATGGAAATAATTGGAATATTCATGTTCATATTGATTAATATACAAAAAAGATAGTTATAATTGATTTATATAAAAATGTTGAATTTGTATTAAACAATTGTAATATTAAATAATTAACCAACGTGAGGATGGATATAAAAATAGATGACAATGGGAAGGGGTATAATATAGAATAGAAGGGAAAAATTGAATTTGATTAAGATTAGAGATGAGAATGAAGGGTAATATTGGTTTTTTTTTAAAAATAGATGAGGAATATATATGGCAAAAAGGAAATATAGAAATTGTAAATTTAATTGAAATGACTAAACACTGTTTAAATTTGTGAACCAGCCAAATACTCTGTTCAAAGAAAATACATTGTATGTTTGTATGTGTGTTTGTCTAAAAAAAAAAAAAAAAAACTTTAAAAAAAAACAACCAAAAAAAGTAGGTGCGTCTTATACTCCGAAAAATACGGTATATATATTTCCAGAATAGAGCTGAATTCTTGGAATGAGTAGCAGATTAATTGGTCCCTGTCTCTTCTTTAGCTGTATTAGCTGTTTATACTTCCTCTTAAGCAGCAGCAGGTCGTGAGTAGGAGGGGGAATCCTTTTTTATATTCCTTGAAACAGGCAGTTGTTTCTTAGCTGTGTGGCAATCACTGCCGAACCAGGGTTGGTTGAATGAGCTCTGATTCTTATTCATGCTAGATCAGAGGTAGGGAACTATGGCCCTTTTATGACTTAGGGACATGGCTGGCTCAGGAATTCTGGGAGTCATCAAAGGGCCAAAGTTCCCCAACCCTATGCTAGATGGATAGGTAGAGAGAATGAGGATGGCAAGGTCTGTTCAAGGAACCTGCTATCCACAATAGCTGTATGTAATTGAAGCACTTCATTGGTAGAAAGCATTTGAGTCCTTTTCTCCTTTGTCTGACCTATCAATTTTGTTTGTATTTGTCCCCTAGGATTACCCTTAGATGGGACAGGGTAGGAATTCAAAAAGGGAGTGGCAAAGGGCATCAAAAGCAACCCACTGGCATAGTGAACACCCTCAGGATGTGGCTGTCAATGTGAAATCGAAGAACTGAGGAAGATAAGTCAATCTTGAAGGCCTTGTGCCTGCCCACTGCAAGAACTCTGCCAGGAGGTCATTAACATTTGTTTTCCAAATGTCATAGCTTTAAAAATGACTGCATAATCTATATTGGCAACTATTGGTGTAAAAACCAGAAAATCTGCTCTAGTCCCGCACAACTCATGTCACCTTCCCAGGGTGGACCAAATTGTTCTAAATTTATGGAAATTTCTCCTAAATCTTTTGCCCGGGTCAACAATGATTTACAGTATGTTTCCCTTTTCTAACATGTATTCAAAGGCCAGCAGGGAGAGCAGATTGTTCCCAACTAAAAATAGCAGGCCCTATTTTCTTCGGCTTTAAGAATGCTGCGATTTATCATCGAAAGGGAGGAAGACTATCTGGCTGGGAATATTTATGTGAGTAAAAGGCAGGCAAAAGGATCATCCTAAATGAATGCCAGCCTAATCCAACTGGTAAGTTAAACAGTCCCAATGGTAAGGGTTTGTGCAGCAGTACCAATGGCTGGGTTCTTTGCAAAATCAGAACTCAGATTAGGCGCACAACTGTGCAACACAACACAAAAGGACTTCTTTCCCTGTTGCCCCCATGTTCTCTTTTTTTCTTAAGGCACCCTCTTAAGAAGCTGGGCGGCCAATTATCTAACTAGTGTCCCATAAAGGAACTGAGCTAGTGGCTTAGCCTAAAAGAGTTGAAGTGTGGCTGGAACCTAATTTTCTCCCTTGGACCAGAAAAGGGTGTCATCGGCAGTTCTTGGTCCAGTAGCAGCAGCATATTTGCAATGGGCCGATGGTATGCATGACTATTCCTAAATACATAAAAGCTAATCATTTGTTTTATTTTATGGCCATTAATGCACCATAAACAAGCTTCGGCCTTTCAATAAAAGCTATAATCTTCAGATTATCTTCAGATTTCCAGATTGTCATTGTTGCAGAATTGGACCAAAGTTCTCAGAGTTTTTTTGAGGCCTATTAATGTCTGAAGAAAACTACAGCTTCATCAGTGTCGAGTAGAAGGGCGATGCTGCCATCCTCAAGTTTAGGGGATGGAACTTTGGGCCATGTAGACATCTCACCATGCTGTTGACCTAAACACTGAAGGGGGGGGGGATAAATTCCTGTCCCCCCCCTTTGTGTTGCAACTGGCTTCGAGAGAACCCTTGCATACTGCACCTGACCTTAAGAATCATATGGATGTCTCGGGCGTGAATTAAATCGAGAAGCTTACAATTCATTGATGGATTGATGAGGCTTCCAGCTTCTCCCATAATCTGGTCCTGGATACTAGACCAAAAGACGCCTTAAGATCTATAAAGGTGGCATATAATGATACCACATTATTAAGTTAAATATTTTTTGATAAATTGCTGATAAGGAACTTAATTTCAGACACAGACATTAGGAGCCACTCGGGTGAGTCCTCCAACTTTTGTACTGAATTCTTATTGCAAGAATTCTAATCCGAACTACCTCCCAAGATAAAGTGTCCTCCTGTGGAAACTGCTCTCACTGAACTGTAGGACCTGACCATTGCCACATACTTTGGTGTATGTATACACACACACACACACACACACACACACACACACACATACACCCTATTGAAGCCTATCCTCTCAAGACTTCCTCCACAGGAGGCCTGCTGACCAACCAGAGAGTGAACCATCAAGGCCTTACTCTCCTTTCAAAGCATTCAGTCCATGGAGACTGGCTTGGCAGTTCCCAACTCTTTGGCCACCAGACAACCTTCTAATGCTCCCAAATTTTCTAACATCTTCTAGAAGCTCTGCTGCAAACTCCATTAGAGAACATGCCACTCTTCTATCTTTCAACATCACGACAGTCTTTGGTTCTGTTGGAACTGGAAATAGCCCAAGATGTCCTACTACTTTCTCATTCCTACTGGAATTTGGATCTAGATTGTGACAAAATATTATGTCACATCTTGGAAATATATGGCTTCTTGTGTTCATTTTGAAGTATATTTTCTTTCTTTTGATTACATATCCTACAAGGACATGTAAAAGAGTTGGGAAGTCCTGAAAAAAGGAAACTGGGAAGGGACATAATAGTATTCTTCAAATACCTGAAAAGATGTCACCATAAAAAACCCCAAAATTATACATTTATGTTACAACAAGACAGATTATGATAGAATGTTACATGACATGCAAGCATGTTTAAATTTAGTTTTCTACATGGAGCAGAGAATTACTGTATTCTGGACCCTACCTCATCTCCTAACTCAGGATTATTTTAAGTAGGTAACGCAACCTAATTGCTACTTCCATGAAATGGCCATTTGCCCGTCCCCAAATAGCTGCCTCCAGTGGAGGTTCTTCAGCCTAAGTTGCTCCATCTAGGGAGATGGTCTAACAATTGGGTAAACAAACCCCACAATCATATAACTACTTCCATGGCATATTTTGTGCCTGTTACCGTTACTTCCGACATTTGAACTTAGGATTTCAGGATGTATCCAAATAACTGATCTTCTATTAGTTCACTGTCAATATTTATCTCTTGCTCCAAGATAGTCAAAATGCTTACTTATTTGCATTCTACCTTTCCTGTTTTTACAAATAACTCAACACGACCAAGATATCCAACACACCTTCCTCCTTGTATTTTCCCCACAACCACCACCTTGTGAGGTGGTTGGACTGAGCAAGAGAGACTAGCCCAAAGTCACCCAGCTGGCTTTCATGCCTAAGGCAGGACTAGAACTCACAATCTCCTAGTGATTGACCCAAGTCACCCAGCTGCCTTTCATGGCTAACTCAACAAGCTTTTTAGAGCCCTGCAAGAGCTCCTTTTAGTCATGAGACTATAGTGCAGATTGCGCACACAACAACTGTTGTGAAGTATCAGCATGCAGGGATGATTGAAAATGTTAGGATGGTGGCCATGACTATGCTATGTTCTCTGCAGCCAAAACCCTGTGACCCATGTGAAAAGAAACAAGGTGCTATCATACGGGACATGGCTATCTTGACTTTACACACTGCCATACATAGGAAACTGCCATCCAGCCATCTACCATCTAGATGGAAAAGACTGAGGAGGGAACAGTTCATCTCACAATTAGTTCACAAAGGCAATATAATTATGCAAATAAACAGAATTATGATGGAAAACCAGCCTGAAATCTTGTGGATGATATCTAAGATTCCTTTCCATCTCCAATCTGTCAAAAATGGTTCTGTAATTTATACTTAAAATAAGGAAAAATCCGTGCAAAAATTCACATAGTGGCAGGCTAGTACACTGGATTTTACCAGCACCTTTCTGGTACTTATGCCCTACAGCTGCTCCTCAGAGAGGAGCATAATCAAGGTAACATGAAAAAAAGGGATTTATTGCTACTATCAGTAACCAACTTCCTAAGAATTTAACCAATTATTCACAATTTGTCTTTGATTTTGCAATTCACACAAATGAAATTGAGCCTCATTTAATGTATAGCTGCCTGTGAGTTTTGTACACACTTACATTAATTTCCTACAAGACTCAGAGATGCCTAAAATCTTACTTACTAGGAAGTCTTCTTCACAGTAGACCTTTCCATTAACATTGTAGAAGGCTTTCCCCCGTAATCTTCTCCCTGTTAAAAATATTGCACTGTCAGACCTTTAATATTTTGGGGATATTACAAAAGGGGGTTAATAAAAATACAATGGATAGGAACAGAGGGCTTCAGGAGTATCTGCTCAAACTACAGTTTTGGGTATAAAAGCAATTTTTCACATAACAGAATGGGGAAAGTGCCATATGTAATATATATGCAGTCATATAAATTTTTGTAATTCAGGAAGTTTTAAGTTTAATTAGAAGTTAATGAAAACAATTTGATTTTGTAGCTTTCTGGGACTCAGCCAAGATGTTCATCAGCTTTCAAAAGCTTGTACTACTATAATGCTTTAGAGCAGGGGTGTCAAACTTAAGGCCCGGGGGCTGGATCTGGCCTGCGGGGTGCTTAGATCTGGCCCACAGGGCTGCCCTGAAATCAGTGAAGGACCGGCCTGTAGTGCCTCTGTCAGCAAAAATGGGAGCTCAGGAGGGCTGCCCATGGCCCACCCGAACTCCATTTTTGCTGACAGAGGGTTGCAGGAGGCCATCACAGCCAGAAACGGAGCTTGGGAGCCCGTTTTCGCTGGCAGAGCGCTCAGGCCACCACAGGCACCCCAACACTAGTGATGTCGAGCTGGCCACACCCTCCCTGGCCACCCCCCCCACATCAAACACAACCCTGATGAGGCCCTCAATGAAATAGAGTTTGACACCCCTGCACTAAACCATCCTGAGCTCCCTAATTAATACAGTACCAGTGTCAAGTGGGAGAAGTTTTCGAACCCTATACACGATACATGATTTACGTTTGACACAGAATTTGATTAAATTGACAGTTCACATATGCTGGAGGGGCTGAAGTTGCAAAGGACTCAAAGAATTCAGCCCAGGCAAGCTGTCAGGCACAGATTTTATTACAGCTGAGGTTCTTTAAAATAATTTGGACTGGTGGACTCTGGTATTAGCTTTTCTGTTTACATACATCTATCATACCGTGATGATTCCCAAAGACTGAGGCCTGGCCTGGCCTTAACAGTTCCTATTTACAAGGAAGATAATCAGAATCTTCCAACTGACCCATGTCCCGTCAGTCTACTGAGCATGACCAGCAAAATATATGCCAGAAACCTATCCCTAATGTTTTAGGACTGGTTACTCATAGATAATTAGTCAAGGAACAAGTTGGATTTAAAACTATTGCTCTATTTTTGAGCACGTTGTTATTCTGCAACACTTGGTAGAGAAATACTCTTCAAAATATAGCTGTGAAGCTTTATGCAGCATTCACAGATTTTACAGTGGCCCATGACCTAAACTTCCATTCTAATCTTAAAACTCCAAAATCCCAACATAGACAGAAGAGCACGTGAGGTACTAATGCCAATCTATAAAGCCTTAGTAAGACCACATCTAGAGTACTGCATCCAGTTTTGGTCACCACACTATAAAAAGATGTTGAGACTCTAGAAAAAGTGCAGAGAAGAGCAACCAGGATGATTAGGGGACTGGAGGCTAAAACATACAATGAATGGTTGCAGGAACTGGGCATGGCTAGTCTAGTGAAGAGGAGGACCAGGGGAGACATGATAGCAGTGTTCCAATATCTGAGGGGCTGTTACAGAGAGGAGGGGGTCAAGCTATTTTCCAAAGCACCTGAAGGCCAGACAAGGAATAATGGATGGAAACTGATCAAGGAGAGATTCAACCTGGAAATAATGAGAAATTTTCTGACAGTGAGAACAATCAACCCATGGAACAGAAGTTGCCTTCAGAAGTTGTGGGAGCTTCACCACTGGAAGCTTTAAAGAAGAGACAGGACTGCCATTTGTCAGAAATGGAGTAGGGTCTCCTGTTTGGGCGGGGGGTTGGACTAGATGACCTACAAGATCTCCTCCAACTCTGTTAACATTCTGTTATTCACCTGTCTACAAATTCTATGACAACTCAACTCTAAAAATCAGATGCAACTATTCTCAGGATCACTATTCCAAGAAAATCCCTGTTGACAGAGTTCAGTAGGGATACATTCATTATTGAAGGATTATATTAATTATTTAGTCCATTCACACCATTCTCCCGACCTGGGAAACCAGGACAGAGCATTCTGGGCCCTGGATGAAGATTGTAATGCAGAAGCCCTAGAAATTAAGTACAGCACAGTAAAATGAACTGTTCACAAAATACCTTAAATACACCCAGGAATTAAATACTCCAACTGAGCAGATCAAGTCATCCAAATATCTCAGCACTGTATTTCAAGCCACAACCAAATGTAGGCTGCATATGAAATATGTCATTCAAAAAGCCCAGAGACCTGACACAGTTCTTGAAACGTTTGTTTATACTCAATGTTCCTACTGCACTTTTAATGCATTCAGCCCAAGTCTGGGTGCAATTACTGTTTGGGGCTCAGATAGGTGCATACCATTCTTTTCCCCTTTGGACTAAGTTCCTCAAGATTTTATTTCAAGTTTCCTATTATGTCTCAAACATGATCCAATGTCAAAGATAAGCTTCCGTTAGCAAGACTGAATCCATTGCCTGGCTATATATATTTTCACATATAGGACTAAGCTACTTTTCTCCCTGGCATGTCTAACCTCACTTTTTGACAGATTTATTTTCTCTTGGGTCAAGGCAATACACAAAAAATGGGGCCTTCTGAGTTTTATCCCTAGCTCAGGTGAATCAAATGTACCTACCATTTTATATTGGGACTTGCCATGAGCTGCTAATTCCATACCTAATTAAATATCCTGATCAGTATTACCTAAAACTTTCAGATTCAAATTATTTCAGTTCCTTAAATGTACCCAAATTTTATCAAGTTATATGTAGAATGTCCAGCACTTTAACTAATCTGTTTACCTAATGGGTGAAATAACGCTATGTACTTTATGAATGTAAGGTGTCCTACGGACAGGTCACTGATCACAATAAAGGTCCTTGTTTTCAATGCTGAGCTCCTACCATCAACAGTGCTTGAGAAGAGACCCTAAATTGGGGAAGATTACTGTAAAGGAACATTCTAGAAGTCAAACTAGGAAGTTTCTACTTGCAGACGATCTTCCTAGGACATGCAGCCCTCTGTGGGCAGTGAGAAGTAAAGAAAAAAACATACCTCGTGACAACAAACCTTATGACTTTGTGCTGAGGTCATCATAAGACCTAGGCCCCCCACTGAGCCGAACAAGAAGCCGTAAGAGGACAAAACAGGCCTTGCTTTCAAAGTTATCCTCCGTTTTGATCTCTCTCCTGCAGGCTCTGCTCCATGTAAATGGTCTATTCCTTCTACTTCCCCTGGGGAATGGGACTTTGATAGTAGTCCTTGACTTATGACTAACTGTTTGAAGTTATAGCGGTGCTGAACGAAGAGACTTATATAACCAGTCCAAAGCCTTATAATCAAAATTGAGGTGTTTGGAAGTCCATCTGCATTTATGACTTCAGGGGCACTTCAATTCCTGCCCCCCCCCACATGTCCTTTAGGGCCCATGGACTCCACGATCCTTGATCCCCTCTGCCCTCTTCCTGCTCCCACTTCTGAGCAAGCCTGCCCACCCACCGGGCCCTTTGTGAAATAGCTTCATTCCCAAGGTTGTGCACAGCGGTTTCCTTGTGAGACCTGGGGAAAATGGCCTCCCAAAGGGCGGTGGCGTCATACTGCTGTGGTTTCCTGTTACAGCACTGGTGCTTCCTGCGACGGCAGCTTTGTGCAGTGCTGCTGGCTGCAGCCTCTCGCAGCCCCTGAGCTGCGTCTTCTGGTGCTGTCTGCAAGGCAGGCATTTTGAGGGGGGCCAAAAGGGAGAGATGGGGGAAGAAGCGAAAGAGAGGCCAGTGGGGGAGTTGAAGAGAAAGCAGCCTCTTATCTTACCAAGGTTGCTTGCGTTGGTGGGGGATGGGGAGTACTTGCTAACCCATGTGCAATTCTTGGATAATGACGGCAACAGTGAATGCCAGGATTATGCAAGGTCACACTTTATGGCTGCATTGCTTAGCCATGGAAATTCCAGTCGCTTATAACATGTGGGGATTGCTTGATCCCCAAAGTTGCAAAGATGCCGTGTGCTACTTTTTCCAACTCATCCATGCGCTGTTACTAACCCTCGCCCAGCCATTACCCTGGACCCACGATTCCCTTTGGAAAAAGTCAGGGAGCTTCTGGAGCCCTTTCAACCCAACATCTTTAGCCCACCCTGCAGAAAGAAGGGCGGGAATTGAGGATTAATATTTTATATTTTTCTGAAATGACATTAAAGCTTTAGTTTTATATCCAATAATTACCAATCCACCTCCCCCTTCTTTCTGTTGTTATCTTCTGCTCTGCCTTCTCCTGCCAAGAATCATAGAAGCTACTGGAATTTGGACTACATCGAAGAATATTTTTAGAGTTGGGGGAGGGAGGGAGGGAGGAGGCAAATGGCTGCTCAGGCCTTCTTTTACCCAGACTTAAAAAGCCCCCCCCTCTTCCCCCCGCTCTACCATGCCCTTAAGCGGAGCTGGCTTGTAGGGACTTGTTTAGGATCTACACCCAGATGGAAGCTTGAAGCAAGCAAGCGCTTGCCTGCAGACAAAGTGAAGGAGGGGAGGTGGAGGAGGATAACCTGTTTTCTCATATACAAAATGAGATGGGTCTACTTTACATGGGTGATTGTGAAAAAAACCCCACAGTTCCATTCTGTATACACATCAACAAAAAACAATTCAAACAATTTCATCAAATGCGTGGCTAAGCAGATGGAATTCAAATTTCTCATGAAGGGGGCTGAATCATCCTCCAATTCTCTTTTCTCACCTTCCTAGTTCTAATTTTTTTAAAATGTATTTTCCTGGGATTAAAGCCTATTTGTGTTTTACTATAAAAGTTTTCCACGCAAGTTTTATTACAGAAGCCACTGCAACTTGCAGAACAGTGGGGCCATAATGAGATGCTCTCATAACTACCCACACTGCTGCATTCTGGACCAACTGAAGCTTCCAGATAAATTTCCAGAGTATCCCCATGTTTTGCAATGATCCCATCAGGTGTGCAAG